ATCAGAGTCGATTACTCCCGCAGCGACGTCGATTTCCTTTAGTGCTAGGCCGGATTGAGGTGCGATTCTTCCGTAGTGTCCTTCGGGGATAGCCATGGTAAGATCGGTGCCGACCAGGCCTCGTTGTCGGGCAGGGATGATGAGTTGATGCACAGCAGAGATGTCATATCCTGCTGCGCCGCTAGTTTTTCGTTCGGGGAGGGTTGCGTGTTCCGAGGTGGAGATGACAACAAATTCGTCCTTCGTTGGTTCTGGGAGTGGGGTAGTTATGGCCTTCTTTAGTTCTAGTCGAGCCACTTGCCTTTGGTACAGGTCCATTTTCCAGGCCCTTGTCTCGTCTTTCGTCCACCGGTGGTTTAGCTCAACTCGTCCGGTTTTCCAGTCTATCTTGGGGTTTTCGAGCTTGAGCCAGGTATGGCCGAAGATGATGTCTTCCTTGCCGATGCTGGCGACGTAGGCTTTGACGAATCGGGGTTCTCCGCTTATCTTGTAGGATAAGAGAGCTCTTTGCGTGATGAGTGCTTCTTTGTTCAGTGTTCCATCCACGTTGAAGACGGGGATGGGTCGGGGAAGAGGTTCTGTCCGAAGTCGATGTTCTCGGATGAATCTCGGGCTGATGAAGATTCCAGTTGCGCTGCTATCGATGAAAGCGCGCGCCTCAACGTCTTTTCGTCCCACAGTAATCGGAATGTGCAGAGCGCGTTCATTTCGGACTACTAGAATTACACGGGACAGTGAAACGGATATGGGCAGTGGTTGCGTCGGCTCACCCTGCCCCTTCAAAAATCCTCCATCGTAAGTTCTTCGTACAGCTCCCGCTTCTCGTCGGCGGAGAGTGCCTTGATTCTGGCACAGAAGTCGTCCTTCCCAGATCCTCCCTGGTTCGGCCTTCCACCCCCTTGTCATGCGGCCGCTTTCTTGCGGCAATCCTTGGCGCTGTGGCCCTTGATGTGGCAGTAGAAGCACAGGTTTCCGTCCCTGTGGAGCTTCCGGTCGGCCTCATTGAGAACGGCTCCTAGTTCCCACTTCCTTCCTCCCGATGTGGAGGCAAAGGTTGCCGCGACTGCAGCGGCGTCGATATCCATTGGCTCGCCGTAGTCCCTGGTGTCTGTGACGGTGAGGGCCCCTTGTTCGGCAGCGTCGGCATTTCGGACTTCGTCGTACCAGGCTTTCATGGTGTTGGGTCGGTCTCTAGCGACCCTAGTTGCGAGAGAGACGTAGAGCTCCTTCGGAAGTCCTTTGACGAAGTTGGCGTGGAGAGTGTGGTAGTCGTTCTCGGTGCGGTTGATGCCATTGACTTCGGCGTCCTTGAGCTGGGCTTTCGACGCTAGCTGCTCAAAGCGGGTGACGTAGTTTCCGAGGGAGAGCGCCGTCTTCTTGTTCTTCTGTCGTTTGGGCAGCTTCATCAGGATTTGGTGCGCCTTGATTCGCGTTCCGTGCTCGGGAAACACTTCCTCAAGGGCAGTGGTGAAGGCTGCCCAATCGGGATAGACCTGGACTCCCCCTGCCGACTTCTCGTAGTATGTGTCTGCCCATGTCTTCCCTAGGTCCTTCCTCATCAACGCTACAGTGAAGGCGATCTTTGCTTCATCGCTGAGTCGGGTGTTGTTGGTGGCGACGAAGTAGGAGAGGATGCATTGGATGAAGCGTCTGAGGTCCTCCGCCTTTCCACTGAAAGGTTCGGGAGCGGGGATGTCAAGGCGAAGGGGTCGGTTGGCAGTTGATTGTTGGGATTGGTATGCTGCGAGGGCGACAGCGATGCGCTGATCGATGTCTGCTTGAGTGAACGTTGCCATAGGGACTTCAACCAGTGCGTTGGTTGGTGCAGGTGGAGCTGGTGGTAGTTCTGGAGCCTCGATGGGAACGTACTGAA